GGGGGGGAAAGGTAATGGAAACTAAGAGGTTCAAATTTCCAGGTATAAAACAAATAAGTCATGGGGATGTAATATACAGCATAGGGAATATATAGTTAATAATATTGTCGTAGCATGGTACAGTGTGAGATGGTTTCTGGACTTATGGTGATCACTTCTTTAGGTATATAAATGTCGAATAACTCTGATGTACACCTGAAATTAATATAATACTGTATGTTAGCTATATTTCAATGCAAATTTTTTTTATAAAAGAAGAGGTGGTACTTATATACAATGGAATATTACTCGGTCATAAAAAAGAATAAAATCTTACCATTTGTGACAATGGATGGACTTAGAGGGTATTATGCTAAGTGAAAAAAGTCAGACAGAGAAAGCCAAATATCATATGATCTCACTTATATGTGGCATCTAAAGAACAAAGTACATGAACAAATAAAGCAGAAACAGATAGGGCCGGCCAAGTGGCTCAGTTGATAAAGAGTTAGCTTAAGAGCGCGAGTTCTGAGCAACAGGGCTGCCAAATTCATTCCCACATGGGCCAGTGACATTGTGCCTGAGCTGAGCTGCCACTGAGCTCCAACAAGTGGCAGAATGGCTCAGCTGATGAGAGCAGGTGCTCCTAACAAGACTACCTGTTTGATGGTGGGCTATGACTGCCTGCAACTAAGACTGAACTTGGCACCTTGAGCTGAGCTGCCACCCAGATGGCTCAGTGAATAGAGCATGCGCTCTTAACAATAAGGCTGCTGGTTCAACTCCCATATGGGATGGTGACTACGCCCATCCACAATTGTAATGCAGCACCTTGAGCTTAGAGGCCACGAGCTGCTGATGGGCAGCCAGATGGCGACTGGCGCCTTCCACAACTAACACTGAAGAACAACAAGTTGGCTGGTCCTCCTCTCCAATTCCCCAACACTGTTCCCCTCCCCCAATTCTCCAAGTTAAAAAAAAAAAGAAACAGACTCACAGATACAGGGAATAAATTGATGGTTGCCAAGTTGAAGGGGATTTTGGGGAGCTGGGTGAAAAATGTGAGGGGATTAAGAAATACAAATTGGTAGTTACAAAATAGTTATGGGGATGTAAAGTACAGCATAGGGAATAGAGTTAATAATATTGCAACAATTGGGTATAGTGACAGAGATGTACTTAACTAATTGGGGAGATCACTGCATAAATTATAAATATCTAACCATGATGCTCCACACCTGAAACTAATATAAAATAATAACAAATGTCAATTGTAACTGAAAAAAATAATTAAAATAAAACAAAAGAAAATGAATGAGGTATACTTAAATGGAGAAAGCTGTCCAAAATAGAGAATTAAATAAAAAGGGCAAATTGCAGACTAATGTGTACAAGATCATTCTAACTTTTGTAAAAATATGTTATACAATGAATAATGTTGCAATGAACATAAGAGGGCAGATTTATCTTCAATATCTTATTTTCATGTCCTTTGGATATATACCCAGAAGTTTTATTTTTTAAAATATCTGTTTTATTTTTTTGAAGAACTTCCATACTGTTTTCCACAGTGGTTGAACCCGTTTACATTCCCATCAGCAGTCCGCAAGTGTTCCCTTCTCTCCATGTGCTTGCCAACAGCTATTATTTCTTGTCTTTTTGATGATAGCCATTCTAACAGGTGTGATATAATATCTCATTGTGGTTTTGATTTGCATTTTCTTGATGACTAGTGATGTGAAGCACCTTTTAATGTTCTTGTTTGCCATCATATGTCTTCTTTGGAAAAATGACGATTCGGTTCCTCTGCCCATTTTTAAATTAGATTGTTTGGAGGCTTTTGCCTTTTTTTTTTTTCTATTGAGTTGTGTGAGTTCATTATATATTTTGGATATTAACCCCTTATTGGACATACGATTTCCAAATATTTTCTCCCATTCCATAGATTGCTATTTAATTTTGATGATTGTTTCCTTTGCTGTGCAGAAGCTTTTTAGTTTAAAGGAGTCCCATTTGTTCTTTTCTTTTTTCTTTTTTTAAAAGATTTTATTGAGGAATTTGGGGACAGGAACAGCATTGGGGAATTGGGGAAGGGGAACAGACAAGTTGTCCTTTTGTTCTTCAGTCTCGTTGTGGACCATTTGTTCTTATTTGTTTTTGTTGCCTTTGCTTTTATTTTCAAATCCAAAAAATCATTGCCAAGACTGATGTTCAGGAGTTTACTCCCTAAGTTTTGTTCTAGGAACTTGAAAGTTTCAGGTCTTAAATTTAAGACCTAATCCATTTTGAATTGACTTTTGTGTATGGTGTTAAGATAGGGTTCCAGTTTCATTCTTTTGCATGTAGCTGTCTAGTTTTCCCAATTCCATTTGTTGAGGAGACTTGCCTTTCCCCATGGAGTATTCATGGTTTCTTTGTCATAAATTAATTGACCACATATATGTTTATTTCTGGGTTCTCTCTTTCATTCCACTGATCTGTGTGTCTGTTTTTATGCCAATGCCATATTGTTTTGATTAACATAGCTTTGTACTGTAGTTGGAAATCAGAAAGCATGATGCCTCCAGCTTTATTCTTTCTCAAGATTGTTTTGGCTCTTTGCAGTTCTTTCTGATTCTACACAAATTTTATGATTGTTTTCTTCCATTTCTTTGAAAACTTCCATTGGAATTTTGATAGGGATTGCACTGAAACTATAGATGGCTTTGGGTAGAAGACACTTTAACAATGTGAATTCTTTCAATCCATGAATACAGAGTATCTTTCCATTTATTTGTGTCTTCAATTTCATTCATCAATGTCTTATAATTTTCAATGTACAGAACTTTAACTTCTTTGGTACATTTATTCCAAAGTATTTTATTCTTTTTGCTGCAATTGTAAATGGGATTGTTTTTAAATTTCTCTTTCTGGTAGTTCATTGTTAGTGTATAGAAACACAACTGACTTTTATATATTGATTTTGTATCGTGGCTCAGATGGGTGCACATGGACCAAGTCCTGGGGTTGAGGTGGGAGTGGCTGCATCATTGTGGTATCAGCCAGGGAGCGATCTATTCTTGGGCTGATGTGCCACACCTGAGTACCATTTGAACTGAGAGAAATAACAATGATGATATCAGCAGCTGAGACAGGCATGCCATGCTAAGAGGAAGGACTAGCCCCTGCCCATCTCAGCATTGCTTAAGTTCAATTTTCCTGGAAATAGAGCCAACTCAGCAGAGATGAAAGAGGAGTTTGGAGATGAAACTCTCAGTTGGACTGGGACTGAATATAAATCATGAACTGCCTGAGAAATAATTGGATTGGGCTATTTCTTTAACTGACTAAAGTGAAGTTTTTCTTCTACAAAACAAAAATGATTGCTTCTGAACTAAGATCTGTTATGGTGAAATGAAATTATCATTTTAACACACACAAGTCTGCAACTGTACAATTTATCTCCATATCACACCATGATGCAGCATTCTGGATATAAACACTCTCTGTGTTGTTGCATATATTACCTTGAATTAACACCTAGTGATGCAACCAAACCAGAGACATAATGCATTATGTCCCAACATTATGCTCCAGTCAGTCTTGATTAAATGAGAAAACATATAGAAAGTATGTAATAATACTTCCTTTTGTCCTAAATAGTTACATATCAACATAAAGTCTGCAGAGACCAAAATGATGAATATGATTGTCAACATCTTGGTTAACAGCAAACCAATTTGAAGCAAAACTGAGACATCCTTGTAAATGGTCATTGCATATAGGATGAATCCCATAGGGTCAGAAACAAGGGAAATCTTAAGGACGAAAGTGAACCCCACAGAAATAAGTAAGGGGAAGACATTCTACCGAGTTTCAGAGATAGCCCAAAATCCATGTGCAGAAAAATGAAATTAAGTGCGTGTTTAAGCTCTCTTGTGTTCTCAGTTTCCTGTTTCACCTGTATCTATATGCTATCCTTATAATAACTGTGTCAGGTAGTCAGGGTAAGTATTGATAGGCACATTTTTTCAGAGCAGAGTAGTTATCAGCACAGATGTGAAATACAAGGCGGAGTGGAAAGCATTTTACCACCAGGAGGAGATCCCCTACCCACTGTCTGGTGGTGTTTGTTATGTGGATTCTTGATGTGTCACCTGGGATTTTTTCAGTGTAATGTATACAGCAATGTATAGAAATCTACATATACACACATACATAGTGCATGCCTATGAAATGCAGTGCAAATGTAGGGCGTTATCACCCCATGAAGTCGTGTGTGAGCCTCTAGCTTGATCTCTGACATCAGACCAACACTGAATCTATCCTGTCTTGATGCTTGACTGTGAGAAAATCTTGCAAAGAAATTTCTAACACACGATAAAGAAGAGCATCTGGGGGAAATTATGGCAGGAACCAAGAGAATAGAATATAGAGTTTATAGGTTAGCATTTTAGGACAAGGAAAAATATAGGCATTTTCTCTACTTGGCATTGCTTTTAGTCTTCTCAGAATTTTACAGTGTTGCTTTCTCCAGTTTTAAAAAGACAAAGATGACATAGGGAAGAGAAATTAAAATGATTATGTGAATGAAAAATAAATCTGAGAATTAAGGAGTTGGTGTGGTTTTGTCTGGAAAAGGGAAGAGGATCTAGTATATAAAGCAGTTTTACAAAGAAGATATAGAACAGTTAAATACGATTATGTGAAAATGAGCAGGAAAATTGCCCTATGGAGGAAGCCCTATGGAGGACGATGACTATGTAGGTCTGATTAAGCCAGGTATCAAGACAGACTTTCTGTCCTGTTGATCCTTTAAAGTTGAAACTTTGAGATTGGGACTGAAGCAGACTTTTTCATTATTTTTTCTTAGGACTTGGACTACTCTTCTAATTTAGGCCAATTCTTTTGCATTTCATGTTAAAAATGTATTAGAGTATTTTATATTAATTCATATATACAGAAAAATTCCTCTCCATTTCCTTAAAAGATGATTAGTCACATTTTTATGAATAGAATTTGTATATATTGCCACACTATACCTGTTCCTGAGAATAAGGAATTTCCTTTCCCAGTTTTTGCTTATCCATTCTGATTCCTTCTTAAACCTGTAATAAATTTATAGATGGTTAAATATTGAATTAGCTACAAATGAACAGTAATAAATCATTATTTCCAGTACCTTTCTCTCATCTTTTTCTCATTCTCTAACTTAACCTTTAGGATTTCTATTTGCTCCTCCAAAACACGTTTGTCTTCAATCTTTCAATAGAAAATACATCACAAAGTTAATTACATGAACAGTACACCCTGTTTCTCCATAACTCTGAAAGGTTATTTCTAATAGGTGGCATGCACATTCTAACTATTATCAAAAATAATTGGAAGGAACAATGAGTTACATTTACTGGTAAGTTCCTTAAATTGAAAGAATTTAAGATCCCATGTCTCCATTTCCTGTAAATAATTCACTTAAAGGCAGCCAGCTCTAGAAAATATTACAAAGCAAATAAATTTTATCTTCATCGTCCCTCCCCCTACCAGGTATCCCTTTTTTTAAGCCTTATTTTCTCTCTCTTATTGTGAACTCTCCAGCTCTTCATCTAGGCGGCAGCTGCCCCCAGTTAGCCTATTTCCTCTTTCTGTCAAAAGTGTTCTCAGGAAAGGACCTGACCAACTCAAACACATTAGAGATTTATGTTATGTCTCAGTGTTGTTTATATTTTAAAAGGGGAGGGGAAATTTTTTTATCAAATGGAATGAATCTCTAACAGTGGAATTGTAGGCATTTCATGAATGAAAAATATTTCTTTGAGTGCAGTAGGAATGTACCCCAGAATCATACTATTGATGCGATCAGATCCTCTCTCGTCATAAGACTAATTCTTTGTGTCACTTTCAAAGTCATTGTTACGTTCTAAGAACAACCAGCATCATATCAACAATAATTAGGTTAACAATAATGATCATATTAGTCATTATTATACCTTGGCCTCTGGCATTTTTACTTTCTTTTTGTCAGGCATTACAACATGTGTTGCAGGTCTAACCTGGCAAGAAAATAAAACAAAGTTAATACAACATTGCAAATTAATGCATAAAGATGTGTTTTTTCTGCCGCTTAGAGAAAGACAACTAAGATTTAAAATATGCCAACCATAGTCCCACAGGAGTCTTCTCTGCCTTATCTATTATAATTTATAAAGCTCAGTGTTTATACATTGCATTTACTATTTAAAAATTACAGGGCAACTTTCCCACTACTTTTTAAAATACATTATTCTGTAGATATACATTGGTCAAATTTTACCATAATACTTTTTAAAAATGAAGTGGGATATTAGTACCCTGTGAAGTCACAAGCTTTAAAAATACTTTTATTTTAAATGATCATCAAGGTGAATTTTTACTACTAGGCCTTTCTGATGAGAAGGAGAGCAGATGGCATTGAGAAAATACACAGATTATAAATACCTGCTTGGTTAGCTACTGCTATATTCCTACATAATAGACAGAAAAAGTGCTCCTTCTTGCCACAACTCTGTTCTCTAGTGGGTTCTATGACCCAAAAGGCCCTTTATCTGTTGCCCATCATTTTGGGGTGGGCTCTGCCAAGGAGGGCCTGGAGCTAGGTCTGGGAGTATGAATCAGAGAACTCAGCAGAATAAAATGAAATGGACCTTGAGTTGCCCCAAGCAATCATTAGTGAGGGCTGGGCAAAGAGATAGAGAAGGAGAGAATGGCCAGTCAAGACAACAAGGCTGGAGGCGCCAGTGTGTGGTAAAGTCGCGGCTGACCAGTGGTCAGGAGTGATGTCCAACATTCAATCTGAAATGACATCTTGATGATGCAAACTGTCCTGTCACTTAACCTTCTTCATCCTTCTCAAACTTACAAACGCAAAGGTGTTGTGTGAGTGGGTGTTTTTAGAAATGCAGAACTGGATTGAATTCAGTGTCTGACTAAAGAAAATGTGAACTGGGATGAGCACAATGAGACTCAGAAACTGATTCAGTTCAGTAGAAGGAGCTCAGACACAGCGGCAGCCACCAGAAGATGCCATGGGCATCAGCAGAAACCATTGGACACGCTCTAGGCTGCCACAAAGCACAAATTATGGGTTTGAGCCAATTTCACCTGCATCTGAAAGGGCAAGAGAGAACCCAGCTGACATCAGCTACCACATATAAAAATAACAATATTTGTAATAACAGCCATAAAAACTATAATTTATTGAGTGCTTACTCTGTGCCAGGCTTTTCACATAGATTACTATTTATTTATATATACTAACCTATTGACTTCTTCATTCCTATACCTTTTATTTTTAACGATAGAAAATACATGCACAATATTTTAAAAATAATCTGCAAATAGTATACATGAATGTAAAACTCACTTCTCAGAATCTAAGGGATTCTTTTGTGTCATTTTTGTTTTTTATTTTTTTGCATTGTTATCATTATAAATAAATAATATCCTTTATTGATTTGGGTTCCTCACATATAAAGATTAAGATTTTAGAGCTATCACATTACCTTCCACCTTCTCTCTTTCCCCCTCAGATGCCTGATATTTTATTTGCAAATGTTTAGCTCTTATCATGGTTGCCTTTATTATGATTTCAATATATATAAACACCTATATCTTGATTTATTAACTCCCCACTATGAAAGATGAGAAATTGATTTCATTTTTTTATTTTTTCCAACATCTTAACTCCCCCAACTTCCCAGTTTTTAGAAGGAATGTTATTTTTACTTTGTACAGTCTATAGGAGCATTCTCTCACTATAATTAAGTCCATGTTTTATCTACACATTGATTCTAAAAGCTGAAATCTAGTAAATAACACTAACAATGTGTTTATGTAAATATTATTTACTTAATAAGTAAATAATAACAACTAGTGTAATTATTCAGAAAGAAGGAAACGTAAAGCTGTTCACTAAACTTTGCCACTGAAGGAAGTCTCTTCCAAGTGTTAGTTTAATGTTTCAACTTTAAATTTTTCTAGCTCCCCTCACTTGTGAGTCATAAGTAGTTTCTCTTTTTCTTGTGTCCATAACATCTTGCATAGGTTTATTATATTTTTTGCATACTCAATTGAGACGTCAGTTAGATATAAGAATTAGGGTTCAGGGCCGGCTGAGTGGCGCGATGGTTAAGAACTGGCTTGGGATGCCACAGGGCCCCGGTTCGGATCCCACATATGAGGGCCAGTGACACTGCCCTCCACAGCTAAGATGCTGAACAACAGCTCAACCTGGAGTTGGGCTGCCTGAGTCACCGGCTACGTAGGCTGCAGCCCCTGTGGCAGTGGGTTGCCATGGGCTATCGTGTGTAGCCAGCAGCCAGCGTGAGTGGCTAGCAGCCACAGTGAGTGGCCGTCCAGAAGCCAGTGACTGATCTGCCTCACCCGGGAAGAGCGCAATGATGGTGCCAATTTGGGCCAGTTAAGCAACGTCCTCCACAAGTAGACTGAAGAACAAAAAAACGACAGCAACTTGTCTGTTCCCCTTCCCCAATTCCCCAGCACTGTTCCAATCCCCCCAATTCCCCAATAAAAATATTAAAAAAAAAGAATTAGGGTTCAAACATTTTTTGTTCCTTTTGAACACTTTGCAGCCACTGTTCCTGATGAGAACATTAATGTTTCCTTTTCCATTCCATTGTAAACCTTTTTTTCTTTTTAATACTAAGAGACCTAAAATTTTACCAGTATGTACATACTGTTTTAATCAATTCTAAGAGATATACTCCCTATCACACTAGCATTTTAACATCTTTGAAATTGAGACGTCTTACAATTGGTGTGTATGTCATAATTTAATTGGCAGCAGTTTTTCCTTGCCAGTGGTACATAAAATAATGGTGTTTCTTACAACCGGTAGCATCTGAGATTTGACAAAATACAATAGATATTCTTCTTTTCTTATTAATCCTGCTTAGCACTTGGTGGCCTTTCTATCTGAATATTAAAGTTTTCCCCCCATAGCTCATGCAGATTTTTGTTCTATTTCTTTTATTACTGTCTTACTACCACTGTTATCTGTTTCGCTTTCTGAAAATTCTTTTAGAAATGTATTAGACCTATTTGATCTATCCTCCATAGTTTAACTTTTCTCATAATTTGTTTGCCATTTTACTGTTCTAAGAAACTTTTTTTCACTTTATCTTCCAGATTATTAATTAGCTCTTCAACTGTGTCAATTTTATTACTCAGCCTGCCAATTGCCATCTTTTTTTTTTTTTTTAATTTGTTACTTTCAAGAAATTGTTCTTTTTCTCAGGCTTCCTTTTTCACATCAGCCTATCCTTGCTTAGTGGAGAAAAGTTTCTCCTGAATGTTTCCCCAAAAATATTTATTTTGAAAATGTCTCTTAAGGCCTTGTCTCTTTCCTGAATTAACTTTCCATCAGGACCAATTGCTTTTTTTGTTCTTTTTGTTCTTTCACTCACTAAATAGTTACTAAATTCCTACTATGTGCCAGGAAACATTCTAAGCACTCACGATAAAACAGGGCTGAGGTAAAGGAGATCTATATGAAAGATATTATGAAAGGTAGAATTTAGGGCACCTTTTGAATGAGAAGAGAACTGCCTGTATTTCTTATTTGGGCAACTAAATGGAGAATGGTACCATTCACTATAAGGAAAAATAATAGAAATAGGGACAAATTTTGTATGCTAGTTTTCTTTCTTTCTTTCTTTC